GAAAAACTATAATTATGTGAGAGTAGGAATGAAAAAGGGACATTAGCGTACATACTGTAGATAAAACGTCATGAATTTTGTCCCAATAACTTTGAAAATACAAATGAAATTGACAAATTCCTACAAATATAAAATGTTCTAGAGTGACTCAAAAAGAAATAAAAAACGAAGTCTTATAATTGCTTTTAAAAATGGAATTCACAGTTAAAAATTTTCCCACTAAGGCTTTTGGCAGAGATAGCATCACTGGTGAGTTGTACCAAATATTGAAAGAGCAAGTACATAATTTCAATTTTAGAAAAGCTCTTCCAAAAAATATAAAAAGAGAGAATGCTCTTCAGCTTTTTGAAGATAGCGCCCTGGGAAAACTTTGTCCTAAAAATAAAACAAAACAACAATAAACAAACAAAAAAACCCCGGGAAATTACAGGACAATTGGAACTCCTAAACATAGGCAAAGTCTAAATAAAATATTAGCAAATGAAATCTAGCAATGTATTAAAAGAAGAGTCAACTTGTATTTATTTCAGGAATATATGGTTGTTTAAAAAACAATGTAATTCACTACATTAATAAAGAAACTCATATGATCATGTCAATGCAGAAAAACCTTTGATAACATTCATTCATGACCCCCCCCCCCAAAAAAAAAGCACTCTTAGCAAATTAGGCATACAAGGGAATCTCTTTTACCTGATAAACAATTTCTTCTATAAAACCTACATCAAATAACATACGAATAAATGCTGAAAGCCATCTCTTTGGGATCAGCAACGATACAAGAATGCCTGCTAAACCACTTTTATTTAATATTGCACTGCAGGGGTGCCTGGGTGGCTCAGTCCGTTAAGCGTCTGACTTTGGCTCAGGTCATGATCTCACGGTTTGTGAGTTGGAGCCCCGCGTCAGGCTCTGTGCTGACAACTCAGAGCCAGGAGCCTGTTTCGGATTCTATGTCTCCCTTCCTCTCTGCCCCTCCTATGCTCTGTCTCTCTATAATAAATAAATGTTAAAAAAAAAAAAAAACTGCTTTAATATTGCACTGGAGGCTCTACACAACTTAAGAAGACCAAAAGAAAAAAATCAGATGATTAATATTTAAAAGCACAAGGAGTGAGGGGTGCCTGGGTGGCTCAGTCGGTTAAGTGTCCGACTTCGGCTCAGGTCATGAACTTGCGGTTCATGAGTTCAAGCTCTGTGTTGGGCTCTGTGCTGATGGCTCGGAGCCTGGAGCCTGCTTCAGATTCTGTGCCTCCCTCTCTCCCTCTGTTTTTCCCCCGCTCCCACTGCCTCTCTCTCTTTCTCTCAAAAATAAATAAAGATTAAAAAAATAAAAATAAAAGTACAAGGAGTGGGAGGGAAGAAATAAAACTATCATTATTTGCAGGTGATATAATTATTTTAGAAAATCCCAAAAAATCTGAGTGCAAATTACTAAAATTAATAAGCAAATGAGGCAAGATGACTAGATAGTGGATTAAAATACAGAAACAATTTGCATTTCCACATACCAGTAACACACTGTTAAGAAACATAATTCAATAAAGATACCATTTGCATGACTGTGTATACATTTGACAAAACTCATTCAATTGTACACTTGAAGTGGGTGCCTTTATCATATGTAAATTATATCTCAAAAAAACCTGTAGAAAAAAGGACACCATTTGCAACAGCAACAAATATACAGAAGAATTTTTAAAAGTACCAAAGAATCTGGGGCGCCTGGGTGGCGCAGTCAGTTAAGCGTCCGACTTCAGCCAGGTCACGATCTCGCGGTCCGTGAGTTCGAGCCCCGCAGCGTCTGGGCTATGGCTCAGAGCCTGAGCACTGTTCCGATTCTGTGTGTCCCTCTCTCTCTGCCCCTCCCCCGTTCATGCTCTGTCTCTCTCTGTCCCAAAAAAAATAAATAAACGTTGAAAAAAAATTAAAAAAAAAAAAAAATACCAAAGAATCAGGGTGCCTGTGTGGCTCAGTCGGTTAAGTGTCCAACTTTGGCTCAGGTCATGATCTCAAAGTTTGTGAGTTCGAGCCCTGCATCGGGCTTTGTGCTGACAGCTCTGAGCCTGGAGCCTGCTTCAGATTCTGTCTCCCTCTCTCTCTGCCCCTCCCCTGCTCGTACTCTGTCTCTCTCTCAAAAACAATAAACATAAAAAAAATTTTTTTAAGTACCTAAGAATTAATCTATCATATATAATAACTTTCTGGGGAAAACTATGAAGTTTTAATGAAAGGCACAAACTAATATTTACTTTTTTAATATTTATTTTGAGAGAGAGAGAGAGAGAAAATGAGTGGGCAAGTGGGGAGGGGGCAGAGAGAGAGGGAGAAAGTCCAATGTGGTGCTTGATCTAACAACCATGAGACCATGACCTGAGCTGAAATCAGGAGTTGGATGCTTAACCCACTGAGCCACCCAGATACCTCAGCACAAAATGATATTTAAATAAATGCAAAGATATAACACATTCATGACATGGAAGACTTAATACTATAAAGATGTCAATTCTCCTCTATTTGATTTTTAGATTCCATGAATCTCAGGTCAAAATCCCAACAAAATTTTATGAGGGACTCAATAAACTGTCAATAAAATTTATATGAAAGAGCAAAGGGCAAAAAAATACACAAGACATTCTAAAAAAAAATTACCTAATCCCTTATAGTAATTAAGATAGCATGATGTTGGTATAAGGATAGACAATTTGACCAAAGGAACAGGAGAGTCCAAAACCAGACCATGCACATTTGGACACTTCATTTATGACAACTGTGGCAATGTAGGTCAGTGGAGAAATGACTGATCACCCAATAAATGGCCCTGACACAAGTTATTATTCAAATGCAAAGAGAGAGAGAGAAAGAGAACTGGATATTCTATACCACACCATACACAAAAGTCCATTCTACATAAACTAAAAACATTAGTGAAAGGGACATCTTCAAAACTAAGAGAGAGAGAGAGAGAGAGAGAGAGAGAGAGAATGAGAAAACCACTACAATACTGGAGGAGCAAAAAAAAATTTTTTTAATCAAAAAATGTAACAAACACTAACCAAAAAGGGGAAAGGTTGAAAAGTTTAATCAAAAAGTGGATTACAAGCAATAGGTAAAATTCACTATGGAACACAGTGGGGAACAAAAGTATCTATTTTTTTTCCCAGTAAGAAGAAGAAACCAAAAGACGAGCAAAAAAACAGTACAAGAAAGTCAATCCAGTTATAAAGTCAACAGGCCTGATTTTGAGCCATCAGTGGTGTGTACGGGGGACGACCCCCCTGCACCCCGACAGGAGGTACCTGCACAGGGACGGGGGCGCCGGCACCACGAGGAAGAGTTCACAGAACCGAAGCGCACTGACTCTGCAATGAACATGAACTGTAAGTGCTGCTGTCGGGTTTTCAACTTTTAGATTTGACCCTTAATGAATCTCAGAAGACTTAGTTATGGTCACTGAAGAGAACAGAAATATCAGCATTGACAATACAAAAGACAGATGACAGAAGTCAGGAGGCAAAAAGAGAAGGGAGAAGTAGAGAGAAGGTACTAATTTCCTCAGTTCACACAGTGCAAGTCAAAAGAAGTTACAAGATATAGAGGTTTAGGATTAGTATTTAAAATTACAAAGGTAAAAGTAAAATAAAATAACAGGTAATCAACTTTAAAAATGGTAATATAATCATGAAAAACTGGGATGGGTTGATACGTAGAGTTATAAGTGAGACTGGCTCCTTACACAACAGAAGGAATTCAACAGTGTCCCAAATTGGGAAGTCAAAAAATGGGGCTCTGAATACATCAGAGATATCAAGGTATCTGCCAGCAAATCTAAAAGCCAGACAACACACAACGAAGTGTGGGAGAATGTGCTGCATTTCATTTTATGCTTTTATTCTAAAATTTTTAATCTATAGGTATGTATCATTTTAAAAGAAGTTTTTCAGATTATTGAATGAGAAAGAAAATAAAAGATCAAGAACCCTAACTGCTTTTTTAAGGAGGTTAAAGAAAACAGATGTCTATTCCAACAGAAAAACTTCTCGACACCCGAGAAAGACTAATGATCAAAAGCCTACTGACTTTATCCAGGAGGACACATAACATCACCATTTAATTCAAAGTGAAGAAACCAGTTTAGAGGCTGAATCTTAAAGTTTCATTGTTTCTCCTCTTCCTTACTCTTCCTCTTTCTCTACTTCTCTTTTTTGATCCTGTCTGGCTTTCTTTCATTTAGCATGAATATTCAAAGAAAGTAAAAATAAAACACCAGTTTTATTTACAGAATACAATCTTGTGTTTCCTAATTTTCTCTCAATACAAAAAATAAAAATAAAAAAACCAACAAATTAAGTTGATTTTCATTTCCATGTTGTCTGAACCAGTTTTAAACACCTCTGTGGGCATTACAGCCATAGAGAAGAAATGATCACTACCGCTGATTTAAGGAAGAACACGCTAACAACAAAAGGTAACCTTGCTAAAACCAGTTCAATAATTACTCTTCAATATATTAATTAATGTTTCTCTTTGTGATCATTATCACTTAGACTTCAGGGCTCAGGAGCTATATGCTTCCATGTAAATATTTATGGTGATTTAAATAAATGAAACCTTGAAGTCTTTTTTTTTTTAATTTTTTTTTTTTATTTTAACGTTTATTTATTTTTGAGACAGAGAGAGACAGAGCATGAGCGGGGGAGGGGCAGAGAGAGAGGGAGACACAGAATCTGAAACAGGCTCCAGGCTCTGAGCTGCCAGCACAGAGCCCAACGCGGGGCTCAAACTCACGAGCTGTGAGATCATGACCTGAGCCGAAGTCGGACGCTCAACCGACTGAGCCACCCAGGTGCCCCCAAATCTTGAAGTCTTAAGCTCCCCAAAAGTAAAGTAAAAACCAGAAGGTTAAATGTTCATGTTAGGTAAGTTGGCTGTGATCCAAAAGAATTCAGCAAGGTCTCCATTTCAGTATAATCCATATCCACATCCAGGTGTATACTTACACTATATTTGCAAGGTCAAGTGGTTTCTCTGGTTGCTCAGGAAAAACAGGATGTGGGGGTTCTCTGGTGGGTACACACCCCAAAGATTTACTAATTGCATGGCTCAGCTTCTTTGCAGGGGATTTCTGTGTCAAAGTAGAAAATAAGGAAATAAGAAATTAAATCTTCAAAATAATGAAAAGGAATTTCCAAAGAACTTGGTGACAAGAACTAAAGAAAATATCTTTTAAATACAAGCTAAGTTGCATTATAATCAACATTACCGGGCCTTACAGAATGGGACCTACAGTTGTCCCAAGGTCATTTGTGGTCCTTCATTTCTATACTTACTCCCTCATTTCTACCATGCAGTCAAGACTATAAAGTTAACGTTAACTTTCCTTTCGAACATCTCTCTGTGCCCTTTGCATGAACTCTCTCTTCTGATGCTTCTGGATCATTTTTGGTAAGATGTTACAGTTAATTTCCCAATCAGAGTCAGAAATTTTTGGTGGACTAAAATACTAAAAGGCTAAGATAATGCTGAGAGCTCGTGGCTTTTGAATGTTAGCAAATTAGCTGACGAAGTCACATCCCAAAACATGCCTATTAAGAGAATATTCCCAAAATAAACGTGAGGCAGAACATTTGGTGCTAAGGGTCTGGCTATGTATACAGACACAGATGAGTGCCCTCACATAGACAGGCAGTCAGCATCAGACCCGTGACTGTAAATTCAGATATGCGGAAGGTACAAGAATAAGTTGGCATACTAATACATTTCTCTGTAAGGTAGAACCACACACGCCAAATCCAAAGACTATCAAGTCTAAGATGTATCAGTAAATATACACACTAGTAAACAATATGCCACAATTAAATTATTCAGAACATTCACATTGGAAACCCATATATAAAGGAAGCTCTTCATATATTGATTTTATTGCCCACCCAATTCCCTTTAAATAACACATTTGTCTGAAATTTTCTTGGCAAGATGTTTACTGCAAAAAGGTGTAAATATTTCATTCTACTCCCTCTGCAACATATTACCATATGTAGCACTCTAATTGAAAAACAGAACTTGTTTGCAGCCATGTGCCTTATCGATATCACATCTCCACTTAACTTTTTATATGCTACTTGCACGTATTTAACACAAAATAAGCAAAACTCTTTGCCTTTAAGACTATGAAGGGAAAGTTAATTAACACCTTGTTTATAACACGGACTAAATAATACCAATTTCTTCAGAAACTTCATATATTGGCTCCAAATCACCTACCACTAACCCCTTCAACACATTAAATTCTGAGCAAAGCCTAAATGTAGTATTTCCTAAAAAGCGTATGAAGCTAAACAAAGCAAAAACCTGAAAATCCCCCCTAAGTGCTCTCCATTTCCCCTTTGCCCAACAGGCTGAAATGTGACTTGATCCTCCCCTCTGACTTCTACACTGTCCCCAGACCTCACATCACTTCTCTGTTTAACATCTTTCAAAGACTCCTAATCACTTATAGAATAAGATCTAAGTACCCACCATCACAATCCACATAAAAGCTTTCCTACCTGGCTCCCGCCTCTCCTCACACTAGCATAAATGACAAGCTGCTCAGTTAGCCCCAAACACCGTGTTCTCTCTTAGGTACCTTGGCGTGTGCCTTTCTGAGATCACCTTTTGCCAGTCTATTTTTCTGTAAATTTTCTGCTCATCTCTCAAGACTTCTTGAAAGTCTTGCTCCGGGCAGACTTTTCTCACAGTTTCATAAGCCAGAGACCACCTTTCCAAGCTACCCACTTACTGTGCACAAATTTCCACTGTTATGCTAACGATGCTATCATGCACTTTTTAATTCATGTGCCTATTTCTGTGAAACTGGTGCTCCTGAAAGGTAGGATCTACATGTTAATCATGTGTATAGTTCCAGGATCTGTTCCATAATGGAATATGTTATTTGAACAACTGGCCTAGATGAATTTTCTAGACTGCTTTTTCCTGATCAAACCATATAAACTTATTTCTTGAGTTACAACACAAGTAGGAGAGAGAGGACATCAGAGAATACCTTAATTCACCTTTACAACTAAACACTACATCTGTGATCCATGTATTAATTTCATGATATTTTGCTGTCTGAGAACCCCCTGGGCCATTAATTCGTGTAGTCTATGAGATGGATTATCATATAGACTGCTTTAGCTGCATCCTGAGTAAAAACAACCATGAAATCACAGGTTTCACATGTATATTTTATAATGAACATTAAAATAACTACATAACTATTAAAATAAAAAATGGCTCCCTCTGTACCACCTAATAATCTCTAGTAGTGTGCTTGTAATTCATTTGAAAATACTGCTTTAAAGTCAAGGCTTAAGATCAGATCCAACTTTGAGTCTCAAAAATATAGATAGGGAGGTAAAATTAATACATCAAAGTCAATTCTAAGTGATTAGAACATGAGTTTTGACATGTATGGAAAGGGAAAAAGACTGAGAATAAATATACATATTCAGGAATTACAATATTAACTAAGGGCTAGGACCGAACCAAAGAGGATATATTACTCTGAAAATGTTATTTGTTTATTATTTTAAGTAAGCTCCACACCCAACGTAGGGCTTGAACTCACGACCCTGAGATCAAGAGTTGCATGCTCTACTGACTGAGCCAGCCCGGCGCCCTTACTCCGAAAATTTTAAAGACATACATTCAGTTAGGTTGTCTAAATATGTAAAGAAATGACTTCCTTACAAAGATAAATTATGATATGGACCTGAAGTGAATTTTGCTATCTAGTTAGTTTAGGAGGCTAAGATTAATAAAGCCTGTAAGCATGAATCCAAAAATGGCTTTAAGCACCAAGATAGGGACATTACCTCTCAGGCTCCCGGACCTGTAGGACAATGCCCAGGACTTGGCAGTCAGTCACCAAATATTTACAGAGGTGAAGAAGAGAGTGAGGAAGGAAGAAAGGCAGGTGAGGCGCAGGGACTGGTGTCTTCCACACCTGGTGTAAAATACTCTGCAAGAGATGCCACTTTCTGTCTCTGTACCTTTCCCCTCACTTGGACTCTAAAACTGATAAATATATGGAGAAGCCTTAACCTAAAAAAGTAAATCTCTTCTAAACACTCTGAGGTGATGATTTTCAAACTTCGTCCGTTTTCGATACCTTAATCCACATTAGTCAATTTCAAAACATTTCCTACCATTTCTTCAAAATACTACAGGGTACGATTAAAGAAGTCTATATCAGAGTGTATAAAATGTGTATGTGCAGTTTAAAAAGTTATAAAATAAATACCCATCTACCCACTAGTGTGCCTGAGAAACCGAAATATGGTTGTCACTCTGAAGCCTTGCTGTGGGATCTTAGGCTAAGAGCCCCCTCCCACCTCACTTGCTCCTCTGCTGGTAACCTGTATTCTGGATTTTGTATTAATCATGTCCTTGATTTTACTACTTTGGTGATTATGCATAAATACATGATTTAATACGTTTAAAACCTATATAGACTTACATAGATATATTTTTCTACAACTTGCTGCTCTTGCTTAAAATGACATTACAAATCATCCCTATTGATACATGTCACATTCATTTTTTCACCAACTGACTGTATGTCATTGCTTAATTATATCATAATCCATTCCACTGCTAATAAACACTTGGGTTGTTTCCATTTTTTCCCTCTCACAGTATTGCCATAAGCTTTCTTGTCTAAGTCTCCTGGTAGCCATGTGTAAGAGTTTATCAGAGTGCAATTACTGGATTGAGTTATACACATTCAATTTTACTAGGCACTCGCCACTTGTTTTTACATAGTGGTTACACTAATTTCCATTCCCATCAGCTGTGTGAGAGACTTTCTAAATCTCCACGTTCTGGCTAACCCTTGTTATTGTCAGACATTTTAACATTCGCCAATCTAATGGGTGATAAATGATTTTAATTTGCAACCGTGACTGCCAAAAAGATTGAGCATCTTTTCCAGTATTTACAAGCCAGTTGGTTTCTTCCTCTGTGAAATGCCTACTCCTGTCTTTGGTGTAGTGTTACATAGGGTTGCCTTTCTCTTATGGATTTGTAACAGTTGTTTATATTTTTTTGTGGAAGACCTATGGAAGTTAGATCTTGCAAATAACTCCTACTTCACTTGTTTTTGACTAACAGTCATATTTTTTTAGGAAGTTTTTGTTTGGTTTGGTTTTAATTTTAGAGAGAGAGTGTGAGAGCAGGGGAGGGAGGAGGGGAAAAGAGAGAGAGAGGAACAAAGAATCTTAACTAGGCTCTACGCTCAGCATGGAGCCTGACAAGAGGCTCGATCCTACAACCCCGGGATCAGGACCTAAGCTGAAATCAAGAGTTGGATGTGTAACCAACTGAGCCATCCAGGCTTCCCACCACATTAACCATTTTAAAGTGTACAGTTTACCAGTAAAGTACATTCACATGGTTGTGCAAACAATCTCCAAAATTTTTTCATTCTGCCAATCTGAAACTCTATACTCATTAAACAACCCCTCATTTCCCCCTGCCCTGAGCCCCTGGCAATCACCAGTCTTCTTTTTGGTCCTATGAACTCTCTACTATCTATCTATTACTATAGATAACCTCATATAAGTGGAATCCTACAGTATTTGCCTTTTTGTGACTGGCTTCAGATACTTAGAATAATGTCTTCAAGGTTCATCCATGTTGGAGCATGTATCAGAATTTCTCCCATTGTCAAGGCTGAAAAATATTCCATCATATATACTGCATTTTGTATACCCATTCATCCATCAATGGACACATGAGTTGCTTCCAAGTTTCAGCTATTGTAAATAATGCTGTTACGAACATGGGTGTACAAGTATCTCAGGACTATGCTTTCTTTTGGTATATACCCACAAGTAGAATCATTGGTAATTCTATTTTTAATTTTTTTTTTTAAATTATTATTTTTTTAATGTTTATTTTTGAAAGAGAGAGAGACAGTATGAGCAGGCGAGGGGAAGAGAGACAGGAAGACACAGAATCTGAAGCGGGCTCCAGGCTCTGAGCTGTCAGCACAGAGCCGGATGCGGGGCTCAAACCCATGAACCATGAGCTCATGACCTGAGAGGAAGTCGGACCCTTAAGGGACTGAGCCACCGAGGC